CATCACCTCATCATTGTCTGTAGTAGCTCCTGTCAAAGAACACCAACGCAGATTCGCTGCAGCCTCAAGAACGTTCCGTAGCGAGCGGGAAGGTACATGGCAAACGCCTAAGAAGCAGCCTCCAACACGCCACCCCTCCCCCCAGCCTACCCCTTCGGGCCGAATTGAGCTGTATCTCTCTTAGACAAGTCATCCCAGGCGGAAACTCCAGCTCGGAACAGCGGCATTCTCTTGCAGCAGACAGTCTTATCTCCTTCAATGATGTCTTCAGCAATGGCTGCACCATCTCAAAATCGTCGATCTGATAATGGAGTTTCACAGCCCGTTTTACGTGAAGTGGCGAAAAACGCGATATTCACACCATGCAGTAGTCGTGAAATATGTTTTCCACTAGTGTTTTCCATATCACGGGTAAACTTCAATAAATATCATTCATTGACCAATAGCTACAACCCTGCTTACGTTCTCCATCTTCAGCTCCTCCAAACAGCACTCTCTCAGTACAGGCAATAACGGGTTAATATCAACATTCCCGCAGTTCACTTCCAGCCGTCGTAACGACCTCGTGATTGGTGACCTCAACAGGGCGTGACGCAGTGGCTGTTCTGGCTGAGCCTCCAGACGTAAACTCCATAGCATAGGACTCAAGTAGCGTCCAGCACAGCAAAGGCGACCACACGTAGCAGGAGTAGCTATGAGATGCATAGTCCAGAAGCACTGCTGATTACATCGTCCTAACAGAAACTGCATACAATCCTTCTTATGGGGATGATCCCTATCCGATCAATAAGATGAACGGCCGAAAGCTATGAAGTAATAACCATGTGTGAGTAAGAAAGTACGGTACTCAACACCTACCGTATTAACCCGCCATATTGCTGACTACCATACCCTACTACTACTACTACTACTACTACTACTACTACTACTTAGTTTTGTTCGCGTCCCCTTTGCGCACTTACGACTCAACCACATTCGCGTAATGCCACCACTCTCACCACCTCGCGCCTCTCAATCGAACGATGACGGAGATGGTGATGGCAGCGTGGAGGAAAGGAGAGCTACTACTACTACTACTACTACTACTACTACTACTACTACTACTACTACTACTACTACTACTACTACTACTACTACCTGCTCTCTTCCACTCAGCTGGTACTTCCTCCCACAAGATCTGCTCCACGCTACGCGAGGTAGCTATAAAATTGCCAACACTCATGCTGTCCAGAAAGGAGCAAATTTCCGCCGTCACCAGTGCGCCACCCTTAGCGAGCATTCTCTCTAACAAGGCTAGTCGTTCGGCATCATCTTCATATCTCTCTATATGCATCAAAATCATGAAACTGACGTCAAGTCGCGAAACCGTCATTGTAAGCACTTCAACTCCACCCTCTCCTTACAAGAAACGTTCCGACGTTGGTAAGATGAAACCTCTGCCGAGCAATGGATAACGTTGCTGCTGTCGCAGTAGTAGACATGAAGGTCCCCTCAGTCTTCTCCTTCCGAATCCGAAAAGGTCATCTCATGTACACTATCCTGCTGAGCTGCCTCTCCAATAGCCTCAGCTGCAGCAGTCTGGGCGGCCAACCATGCTTCTAAACACAACGTCGCGCGCCATAAAATTACCCCAATACCCAACAAGTCCTTACGTCTCTTCTTCTCCTTCTGCCTCTGACGCTTCAGAGACCGCTTACTCCTAGCCGGGCCCTCCTCAGTCTCGCCAGTCTCCTCGGCCTAACACGTAGTCCGCTCCAAAGGACCCCAGCATACCCCTACACTACCCTTTGGCGTTTTAGCCGCTGTTCGATCTCCTTATCGCCCTTCATCATCGCCTCTATCTTGCTCTTCTCCTCCTCCTCCCTCTGCTTCTGCTGCTGTAGATAGGCCTTCCCCATAGCAGTATCGGTATAGGTGTAACTGAAACGATCGTCACTGCCGCTGTAGAGCAGAAGAGCGCCAACGCCCCTACATCATGAACTGCTCTGGTGGGGACTTCAGAGAGCTCCTCATGCGGGTGACTTGGGCTGAAGTCTCCTCCGACAAGGCAATCAACGGCTTCAACTAAAATCGCAACCAC